TATTTCACTTCAATAAGATTAAATTATTTTATTTTTAAAATATGAACTAAAACATTTTTATTTTATTTTATAATATTTTATTTAAACGATATAATTTTAAAATTAATTTTTTTGTTAATTTTTATAAAATAAAATAGAGGAACATTACAATCTATTAAGATTAAGGTGATGATATAAATATGATTTTTTATTACATTTTCTTATATAATTTTTAAATGTTATTAGATAAGTGAATATATTTAATATAATATATTCCAACTAAATAAAACAAACAAATTATTTTAACACATGTAAAGTTATAAAAAAATTACCCTTAAATTATTTTCCTTCAAATTATATATTTAAGTTGATTTTTTCTATTTTTCATCATTAGAGAATTTACCACAGAGAGGAATGCAAAGAAAAGAAGCAGAAATAAATTAACTTTTATGGTTCAAAAATTACAAATATATATATATATATATATATTTACAACTCATCAGTAGGTTCTTCATCCTCTTCTGAGCTTCCACCACTTTTCTCATAAACCTTTTTCATAGCGGGGTTACACACGGCTTCGACTTCCTTCATCTTCTCCTCAAAATCTTCCTTCTCTGCGTTCAAGTTGTCATCCAACCATTCCAGTGCTTCCTTCAGTGTGCTCTCAATTTTCTCCTTGTCCTCTGAATCGATTTTGTCGCCTAGCTTGTTGTCATTAATGGTATTCTTCATGTTGTAGATGTATGTCTCGAGCTTGTTCTTTGCATCTACTTTCTCCCTCACCTTTTTGTCCTCCTCAGCGAACTCCTCCGCCTCCTTCACCATCCTCTCAATCTCTTCCTGGCTGAGCCGCCCCTTGTCATTGGTTATGGTGATAGATTGTTTGTTGTTGGCTCCCTTGTCTTCTGCGGTAACGTGGTGGATGCCATTGGCATCAATCTCAAAGGTCACCTCTATCTGTGGCACTCCCCTGCAAGAACATTAGTTGAACATCAGTCAAAACATTCAAGCATATGGAGAGGAATGAATACATATTCGAATCTGAAACTTACCTTGGAGCTGGTGGAATGCCAGTTAGATCAAATTTTCCGAGCTCGTGACAATCCTTTGTTAAGGATCTTTCACCTTCAAATACCTGAAATTTACAAGTTGTAGTTAGTAGTTAGTACTTAGAACAATAACATGCAGAATACAAGATTTTCAATTTGAATTTCAAACTGAATTTGCAATCCCTTATATATACCTTGATTGAAACTGTTGTTTGCTGGTCTTGATAGGTGGAGAAAATCTGAGACTTCTTAGTTGGGATAACTTTGTTCCGATGGATCAACTTAGTCATTACACCACCAACTGTTTCAATACCTAGACTCAGAGGTGCAACATCAAGCAGAAGAATATCTGCAAAATCCAGAGAGAAATACTTGTTATTGATAATGCATTAGGATTAGGACACTACTTCGAGCACCAACATGAATATGAAAAAAGAAGTTGGTTGTCATTACCTTTGGTTTCTTCGCCACCTTCCCCACTCAGAATTCCACCCTGAACAGCAGCACCATATGCCACAGCCTCATCAGGATTGATACCTTTGTTGGGCTCTTTTCCATCAAATATTTCCTTCAACAACTGCTGCACCTTTGGAATCCTGGTACTTCCTCCAACAAGCACAATTTCATGAATGTCTGTCTTCTTTATACCAGCATCCTCCAGAGCCCTCTTGACCGGTCCTAATGTCTTCTTGAACAAGTCCATGTTCAATTCTTCAAACCTTGCCCTTGTCAATGGCTCCGAGAAATCAATACCGTCAAAGAGTGACTCAATCTCCACTCGAACTTGGTGCTGGCTACTCAATGCCCTCTTAGCCCTCTCACATTCCCTACGAAGCTTTCCGAGAGCCCTATTGTCCTTGCTAATATCTTTGTTGTATTTCTTCTTGATCAGCTTGATGAAATAGTCCATCACTCTATGATCAAAATCCTCCCCTCCCAAGTGGGTATCTCCACTTGTAGCAAGAACCTCAAACACACCATTGTCAATAGTCAAGATACTAACATCAAATGTGCCCCCACCAAGGTCATAAACCAAAATGTTCTTCTCCCCGCCTTTCTTGTCCAAACCATAGGCAATTGCCGCAGCGGTAGGCTCATTGATTATCCTAGCTACATTAAGCCCGGCAATGATGCCAGCGTCCTTGGTCGCCTGCCTTTGCGCATCATTGAAATAAGCTACAACAACATAGAAAACAGAACCCCATTTAACCTCAAAGATTCATCATCTCTAAGAAACATTACTCTAAATCTCTAATATGCTTAAAGGAACTAGAAGGCTTACCTGGAACAGTGATTACGGCATCTTTGATTTTCTTCCCCAAGTATGCCTCTGCCGTCTCCTTCATCTTTGTTAATATCATAGCACTGATCTCTTCAGGGCTAAACACCTTAGTCTCACCTTTAACCTTCACTTGTATGTAAGGCTTCCCATCTTTATTCACCACCTTATATGGCAAAAATTTTATATCCCTCTGAACCTCCGGATCATCAAATCTAAAACCAAATCCAAATCAAACCCAGTTCAATTCCCACCCCAAATACCAGAAAACCCAAAAATCAAACGACTTAAATCTTCAAAAATGTTCACTTACTTTCTCCCAATGAGTCGCTTAACATCGAAAATGGTCCGCTCTGCGTTTAGAGGCGCCTGATTCTTGGCTGCCTCTCCAATGAGACGCTCGGTGTCAGTGAACGCAACCCATGATGGGGTGATTCTGTTCCCTTGATCGTTCGCTATAATCTCTACATGGGCATTCTTATACACACCCACACAAGAATACGTAGTCCCGAGATCGATACCAATCACAGTACCCAGTTTCTGTTCTTCCGCTGCTACTGCAATCCCCAACAAAAACTCTGCAAAAACAAAACCAAAAAAAGCTTCAAATTCACCTCCGCGCAATCATCATGCAAGCAATTTCCAATCCAAATCTATCTCAGAGGATTCTCATACCTGAAACGAAGAGAAGAAGAAGTGCAACCGCCTTGTTCTGGATCCTCATTCTTGCTTTAAATTTGAAGGTTTTGCTTGCTCTGTTTTTCTTCTTTTTCTCTGTCTTTCCTCTGTTTTCTGAAGTGGAGGGGGAACAGCTGCTGAGGGTTTTATTTATAAGGGGTTGGGTTTACGCAATGCTAGAGTGTTCCACCCAATGGTTGATGCCCACGTCACCCGTTTATGTTGTTCTTTTCAATGTTCTAACACGTGAGTTAACAAATGAAAATGTGACACGTGGAGAAGAAGTGGGGAAGAAGGTCACCGATTTGTCGCGAACGTTCTTGATTTTTGAAGAGATTATTGGCGGGCAAACGGTTGCTAATAAACTAATCAGGTCCCTAATTTTTTTTCTAAGTAAGCAATTGAGCCCATACTTTTTATATTGATTCAAATAAGTTTAAGTTTCCTATTTTTATAAGGAATTTTCTAAACTGTGCCCTTAGTACATAGGTTAAATCTATTTTTTTTTATCATAAATGTATATAAAATAATGTAAAAACTAATATTAATTTTAGTGATAAATAAATTTAATTAAATAGTTAATAAATTAAAAATTAATTTTTATTTTTTTAAATATAAATTTATGATAAAAATATATATTTAATATAATCTTAATTAGTGCCCTAAGGGCACAAGTTTTTATTTTTTGTGGTACACTTGAGGGCACAAATTAGATAAATCATTTTTATAATCCTCAGGCTTAGGGGTTGGAGTTTCGAACTTAAAACTTTTCTAGGGCCTCACCAAACCCTTAACTACTAGTTCAATATCTTATTGGCATATATTCAATTAAGTTTTTGAACATTAATTTTAATTAAAAACTCAATGAAATTGATCGAATTGATATGATAGCCTTGATAATGATCTCATTAGTCTTGTTTCTCTCACCTTCCTCTTTCTTTTTCTCCTTTCGTTTTTTTCCTAGAAAGCATTAACAATTATTCGAAATTTACTAAAAATGTAGTGATTCAATGAATAAAAAAGTATTGTCCCATTTCATTTGGAAACGAATAATACTCTTTAATTTAGATCTTAACTAAAATGACATTATATTAGATGGTAATCAACTACTTAAAGTTGAGCTAATTTGAACATAATAAAAGTAAAAGGGTTTTTTAATAGACATTAATAGAAATGAAGGGAACTGTGACATACTTGGAAGTTGGAATATAGTGTTGGAGCTTAATTGCATCTTAAGAAAACATTTAAGGGCTAATTTTATACTTTTTGTCCTTTTTTTTTTTTTTGTTTTTTTATAAGTGCCAAAGGAACTGAGTCCTCAGTAGTGCAATGCTTAGTGATGTTATATTGGTGCTTACATGTCGCCTATCCTCAAAGGCGTTAATTACATTTGTCACACCTCAACCCATAGGTTTAGAAATAACAAACGCCACATATCTATAGGATAACCTCATAAATGTGTAAGGTCATCTACTTGCATATTAATACAATCTTCCATAATGTTTTAATGTAGCCTTGCAACTTCAAAATAAACAATTCCATTAACAAATTTGGATAGTCTTCAAATAACAAGATTAAATCTCTTAACTAAAATATAAAGTGATTAACATCTTATTCCATAAAATCCAATAAGCTTCCAATTCAATTATTACTAAATTTCTGTCAATTTATTCTAACGATCTCTCAATCCCCATGCAAAACCTTATGCTCATACTTCTTTACCTGAAATAAGATGAAATTTATGAAAATTTGAAAACGTGAGTTTAAGAACTCTGTAAGTAGTATACCTATCCATCTCAACTAAGCATAAAAATTTTAAACTGAATTTTTTATTAAAAATGAAACAATATAAAAATACAATTCTTTCCTCGAAACTAGAATATTTTATTTTTCGTCCCTTATGGCTATGTAACAATCCACAATCTATGATCAATGATACTCACTCATCAATCTACAATACACAATCCACAATACACAATACACAATCCACAATACACAATACACAATCCACAATTCATAGATCCCAGGTCTATTACAATACCAACAACTCAACCCTCACAAAGGTGAATCATATAGCCAAGACAAACAAAAGAAACCGTTCAAAAAATAACCATTTCAATAATATTGAAGAAAAACAAATTTAAATTAACTACCTCCACATGACCACAATTTCATCTCAAACTTAAATAAAAATATTATGCTTAGTCCACAAATCATCTCATTCCATCATTAAAAATATTTAATAAAAAGTCATTCTCTAGAAATAAATAAATAAATAAATTTAAACTAGACAAACCCATTTAAATCTATCGATTTACTTTAAAAAAACACTGAAGAGTATAACTACTTACCTAAATAACTATCCTTCAAAATGCAATCACCACACAGCTACTTGAAACCTAAATGAACATCAAATATACATAATTCAATCACCAAGCAAAATTTATCCTTTGCTTATTAAGCATATACATGATAAAAGTCCATAGCCATGCCACTGTTGTCCTCTTCCTCAAACCCAAATGTTTCAACCCACTATTAGAAACTAAGCACCTAATAAATAATTTCTCCTTTAAAAATTCCTCACATCATCACCCAAATTCACAATCTTTTTATCAATACCAAAATCCATTTGCTTAGTAAAATCAATCTCCCGACCATGCTTATATCCATTCTCTTCATTCCAAATTCCTAAATACTTCAAGCTTTAGAAGATAATTTACCTTGGATTTAGTCTAGCATGGCCAAATCTCTGAAGTTCAGTTCCCCCTTGCAGACGAGAGAAGAAGATGATCCTGTTCGCCAAAAAGAAAGAAAATTGAAACTGCCCAATTGAATCTGATTTGGGTTCTCATAAAAAGGAAATATTGTTAATTGGTCCCTAAGTTTTAATTATAAGGTTCTAATCCCTTAATTCCTCATCTCATTATAATTTTAATTTCAAATTTAATTGTATCACATATACACCCTCTAAAAGTTTAAATAATTTTTTTAGATCTTAAGTAAGAAATCCTCTGCTATTACAACATTGGTGCTTACATTACTTTTGCCTTTCCTCCTCGAGTAGCTGCTGCTTCTGCGGTGCAACTCAAATCTATGAATCCTTATCATTTGAGCCTAAGCCAAGCCTCATGGCAAGAAAGTGAATCCTTTGCCTGTTCTTGGAAAAAGAATATGATATTATCATTCTAGATTTGGGGTAAATTTTGAAAATTTTTTATGTTTTATTCTGGCATTGAAGCTTTATTTTTTGGCAATCAATCAAATCTGGCATTGAAGTTAGGTTGTAGTATAAATTCTTACAGAAGCTCTAAAACCCTAATGAATTCAAATATGCAAGCAATTCAATCTGATTGTATCTGAACTTAAATGATCCTGAGTACTCAGAATAGTTCAGTCTAAACCTTCCAAAAATCTCTACATAAAGTTCAAATTCAAGTTACAGTCTTGATGATGGTGGGAAATATTTATGAACACACAATAAACCTAATTAATGTTCATCGGAATGGGGCTAAAGGGTTAGGGTTGCTGGGCACTCTTGAGCTCCTGAGCTCCTTGCAGACCTGATCCAACATACCCAGAAAGTCTCTGACGATCACGAATATTCGTAGTGGGTTAGCTTCATCTTTGCTCACATTTCCATGAAAGTACTCTGTGATTTCTCTGACATGGAGTAGGACTCTGTCCTCATCTTCTTTGAGCCCCTTCAAGTTCTTCTCTGCATGGTTCATGAATGAATTCATGGAGTTAATGAAGTTCATTCCCTTTTCATCATCTGCAGATAACTCCTGCTGTACAAGGTGTTTTAGTTTAGACATTCCATCATACAGGTTGGAGACAGAGCTTGCAAGAACGTCCAGGTCAAGTGTAGCCGTCTTCTTGACATGGTAGAGTTCGGTGGTTAAGCCAGAGACGAGATCCAACCCCATACGCCGGTAATCTTCTTCTTTTTCTTCAACTGTTTTGGCTTTGTTTTTCTGGTTGATTTTCCCCATGATGCTGTCAGACACTCTTATTCCTTCTGTGCGAATTATCTCTTGAACAACAAAATGGAGTAAGGTCGTTTTTCCGTCAGTTCCTTTTACATCAGATAGCTTAAGGAGTGCATCAAGCTTGAATGCTCTAGCACCTCCTCTGATTGTTCCAACATTCATCCTGTTTCCTGTTTTTAGAACTGCTTCAAGTAATTTCAAGAATAACCTGCTTGATCTCAGTTCTTTGCAGGCTTCCTAATGGCAAAAAAAAAAAACAAAAAAATTAAGGAAATTAGCAATCATATATTGATCATCCACAAAAAACTGATATTATATATAGTTTTATTTATGTTTACCTCTAGCATTGAGAAAGAGTTCTTGAGATGAACAACCTCATCTTCAAAAGTTTCTCGGTAGAGCATGGCTTCGGCACGTAGGAAGGCAAATGGAATGCCAAGAAGTACTTTGACAAACTTCTCAGCAGACCCCAATTCGTTGATGTTTCCTTTATAGCTGGAGAGCTTAGCCTCTTCTTCCTTGGTGGGTACCATCTTCACTAATGCCTCTAGTTGTTGTAAAACCAACCCATCACCTGATTTCATTCATATGAGAAAGGAACTGAACTTAAATGACAGTTTTAAGTTATTCTGGTTTTCTTCAGAAATCTTTTCTTAGATAAGAGTTATTGTTTTAGTAATAATGCCCCAATAAGAAACAGATTCTACTTTGATCAACCATAAATTGGTGGTATAACTGTGTTCTCAGCTGCTATGTTTCTTTCAAAGTGCATTTTTATGATTTTGAAACAACAGGTCCTTGATTATACTTGTTTAGGAATTACTATAGTATCTAATTTAAGGCATACCTTGCATCAATGCGTCACATACTTTCTCAGCTGTGGCATTCAAGGCTTTCAAGAGTATGGTTATGTTCTGCAGCCTCTTTGGCTCAAGTAGTTGCTTGCTCGGAGAAGGTGTTTTGCTCTGTGATTCATCATTCTTCGTTGAATTTTGTATATTGTATCCAAAAAGTGACTCGATCATTTCCTCGTCTAATCTGTTGCAGAATTAATTGATTCATTTTGCATTGATTAGAAGGGAAGGATTTAAGGATATGCATAGAAGAGCACATTATAACTTACTCAAATGAGCTTGATCTCAGCTTGTCCCATACCATGGATCGGTCTGGTGCAGCTCTCACTTTGTCCCAGTGAAGTGGCTTCAATTTTGGCAATGGAGCTCCATCTTTCCCCACTGCTGCATAGGGTGGAAATTGGGATGGTGGAGGAGGTGGCCCTTTTACGGAGTTGTCATTCCTTTTCAGAAACGAAGGTGGGCATGGTGGTGGTGGAATTCTAGGACTTAGGGTAGGTCCTGAAGGTATTTGAGGTGAAGGTGGTGAGTCACTTTGTTGAGCTTGGTTTATGTTTGAACCTAACAAGGAATCTGGCTTCCTAGAGGGTGTTAAACTTTGCTGTGGTGAGGAAGAAGAAGAAGAAAACAAGGGAGATCTATGCATATTTGGAGGCAGAGGAGGTGGAGGCGGAGGTGTTGGGGGAGGCGGTGGTGACCTGAAATTGTTTTGACAATCAGGGTAACAATGAACTGAGATGTGTTCTGGTGTTGCTTGTGGCATTGGTGAACAAGCTGAAGAATGCAAAGGAGTTGTGGATACCTTTGGAACAGTATTTGAAGGATTTTCTGTTGCATCACTAAGACTACCAGCTGAAGCATTGGAAAGCCGGACTTGTGAAGAATTGGAATCACCAAATGAATGGAAAGATTCATCATCAGATGAATGGCATTCAATGGGAATGATTTTGTTATCAGATGAGAAATTACCACCATCAGATTCACATCGTATTGATTCTACATCCTCATGAACCGACATTATTTCTTTTGTGGAAGAACTACTAGCAATGTCAGATTCTGCTGTAATCAGTTGTTTCTTTGATCCCTCTCCTTCATGTAATGTATATCCTGGAGGGCTAAGGTTTGATGATGATGATGATGCGTTAACGATTTCAGTAGTTTGTTCATAGCATGTAGTTTGCTGCTCTAAATCCACTCCTAATGAACGGAGATAAAAGAGATCAACACTGGGATTCAAGCTCACCTTGCTCGATGAATTCTGGGAACTCTTGTGCTTTGATTTGCCTCTGAATCTGATTCTTCCCTTTTTGCTGTACTGTGACATTGTTTTAGCAGATTTCTGTCTATTCCTCCTAAATTTACGGCATATGCAGAGGAGTCCTAGAGCACAAGCTATAAAAGCAGCTCCTGCAGACACAATGACAGGTACTAGGACTCTTCTAACTCTTCCTTTTTCTGTACTTTGCTTCTGGATTTTGTGGTGATGGGGGCTCGAACGAGGTGAGTGAGGATGGGCATGTGCAGGAAATGGCATTGCTGGAGCAGGAGCCGGAGATGGAGTTTCAACTGCAATGCTGGGTGATGGAGAAGGAGATGGTGACACAGGTTCTGCATCCCAACTTGGTGGAGTCCTTCTGAACCTCTTAATTCCAAGTAAACCTCTAAACTTCTGCAAAATCAAAGATGCTTTCTGTTCATTCTCATCTTCCCCAGAAACTTTCTGAATGCTGTTTTGGTTCCTTCCCCTTTCCTCCATGAAATAGAATTGTTGTAGGCCATGGAGTTTGCTGAACTCCTCTGCTGCATCCAAAGAAGCATCAGCAATCAAAACACTGGTACTTTGCAATGATAAAAAGAGCATGAATATGATGAACATGTTGAGCATCATGTGAACAGTCCCAGAACCCATGATGCTCAGCCAGAAATCATCACAACCATCCAATCTAACTTTCAGCTTATAAATCTAGTGGTGTTCTCTTTTTTTTAAAGAATTTTTTGATTTTTGGTGGTGTGTAGTGAAAAACATCTATCTACTACCGCTGAGTCTTAAATGCTACTCCAAGGAACCCCTGATCCCTGGCAGTTGTTGCTGTACTGGTCCTCTTTATTTCTCCTATTCATTCACTCTTTTCTCTCCTCACCTCCATAAATTCCCCTGCAAAAAACACTGTTTACTGTGTTTATTACAGCCTGCTTTAGGAAATGTGTCCCCATTTCTTGATTTGATACCCCCAACAAAATCTATTCTTCTTTATACTCTTTCCCATTACAGCCAATCCTGCCCTGCTTTCCTCCTCTCCATTCATTCTTTTCGTCATTCCCTCCAGCTTTTCTCATAAACACCAATGCTCAACTTCTTATCATATGAGATTTCATTCATCATCCTTTTTAGCTCCTAAAAGTCACAAAATCAAAGCTTATAAAAAGTTCCCATCTGGGTCCCTTTCTGTTGGACTTTGCCTAACTCTTTTGCTACTACTTACCAAAGTTTTCCTCCAACCCCAATTATTAAGAACAAGGGAGAGAGAAAGAGAGAGAAAATGGTCCATCCCTTCTTCATGTGAATCTGTATCCTTTTCTTCCATTAACAAAAAAAATATGTTTCTAAAGTGAAATCCAAGGAGAAAAACAAGATCTTAACTATTGAATTATGGAGGCTAGTAGATGAACAGTCTCTTTTCCCCCCATCATTTTTTCTGGTTTCTTTGGCTCCACTTGCAAAGCTGGTTGCTGTTGTTCCTAAGTTCACTCAAATAATACACTTTGTCTGGTAGGATTGATGTTGATTTCAGTACTCTTTTAACTAAAATAAGCCTCTGTTGTCAATTCCACTTGACTTGGCACTCAATCACCGTGGGAGACTAGGAAATATTTGCCTCATTTTACATATGATAAACACCTAAGCTTATGCCCTACTGATTAGGTTTTTGGTTTATGTGTTTTTGAAAATGGATGTCATTTCTTTTCTTTTCTTTTTTTTTTTTTTAGAGTGATTTAAGGATAACTTTTGTTTATAATTTTTTTACATAATTTTACATAATATTTAATAATTGATTTTTTTTAATATATGATACTTATGATATTATTCGTATTTATTTATTTAATAATATATAAAAATTATAAATAAAAATTTATAAAAATAAACCGTTTGCATTTCTAAAAATGCTTGATACAAACTTTTTTTTCACACAATATTTTATATAAAATGTAAATTTATAATTCTTAATTAAATTTAATTTATATATTTTTATTAATTTTAATTAATATTTTATATATTTTTAAAATGAAAAACCAAAAAAAAATCTATAATTATAATATAACACAACATAATATTTGACAAAGGAAGCCCAAAGCCATTAGTAAAGCCAAGGAGGTAAGTTTTGTTGAGGGTCATGTCCTGTCATAGGCCCTCTACCCCCATCAGACCACATGAGTCCATGACATGTCTAGGTAACCAGTGGAGCCCATAGAAACCACGAAAGCTGCCTAGAAAATGCCTACTAATTCTCTAAACCCATCATGGGGGAAATGCTTCTACTGACAGAGAAATTTGTATATGGAATATAATGAATGGAAATTGGAAGCATGTAAGAAAAAAAAAAGGGGGTAAAAATTATGAATTACAATATTTAATTTTTAAATTTTAATTATCAATTTGGAAAGTATATACTCATTTTATTTTAAAATAATTATTATTTTTATTTTAAATTAATTGTTATTTTTTATTTTTTTAAAGTAACTAAATATTTTTTTATTTTAATCTCATCATTATTTATTTACTTTAATTAATAATCTAATTATAAAAATAATCTA